CCACCATGCCCGGCTAATTTTTATATTTTTAGTAGAGATGGGGTTTCACCATGTTGATCAGGCTGGTTTCGAGCTCCTGACCTCATGATTCACCCTCCTCGGCCTCCCAAAGTGCTGAGTATTACAGGCATGAGCCACCGTGCCCTGCAGTACTTGATACTTTGTTTGGAATCTTTATAGCCAACCTCGAGATGGGTACTATTACTATTTCCATTTTATAGATTTAGAAATAGGAACTGGTTAAATAATCTAGTTAGTGAGCATTGGACTGAGATTCAAACTCAGGAACTCAGTTTTTATTCACTATACTGTGTCTTGTTTATATACTACATACTGTGGTTTACTGTATAACCTTCTTGCACAGGCCTTTTTGTGGACACTTCATTTCACAGGGCTGACTAACCACCTCACCGTGGCTCTTTTTCCCCTTTCCAGATCCATTAATGAGATGAAGCGGTTAGAAGAAATGTCAAATATGTTTCAGAGCTCTGGAGTCCAGCACCACCCTCCAGAACCAAAAGCCCAAACAGAAGGGAATGAAGATTCAGAGGGCAAAGAGCAACCTTGGGAAATGGTGATGGATAAGAAACACTTTAAGCTGTGGCGGCGCCCAATTACAGGCACCCACCTTTACCAGTACCGAGGTGAGCCCAGTTTGGCTATCTTTTGGGTTCCATAGTTGCCCAGGTGCTTGGGAGTTCTGTTCTTCATACTTCTCTAAACTGTTCTGGTTGTTTCTCAGAAAATTTGCCATGGTTTTTTGTTTATTGTTTTTCTTCTCGCAGACGACAGCTGTCTCAGTGTTGTCTTTGCTTAGATCACCTTTGTCTTTCTTTGTTGCCCCACTGTGACTTGTAGTTTCTGAACCTGCCTTTAAGATCTCTTAGTACTTTAGAACTGAAACGCCGCTAGGTGATAGAAACAAGGCAAGTGACTGGAGTATGGCAAGCATCTCTTACTCTTTCTTGTCATTCTAGTTTTTGGAACTTACACAGATGTGACACCTCGGCAGTTCTTCAATGTTCAGGTGAGTTAATTTTTCTCTCCAGATTTGGAGCCTCCTTGCATATCAGTTGCTACTGTCTACATGAGTAATTTATCTGACTCAGGTGACATTGGCTTCAATACATCCATCTATCCACCTATCTACCTGTCATCCCACATTGCATAGCGTTTAGGTAAACATTTAACTTAGACTTTCTTTATCTGGCCCATGGGGATGAGATCAGTTTTACCCTCTCACAGGACTGTTGGGAATATCAGAGAGAGGAATGGATATGAATACTTTAATGTATTTTTATGAGGCTTTATTGTTTTTCCCCCAAACAACTTGAGAGTAAGTTACATACGTCAGCCCTTTATTCGTAAATTCTTCCAGTGTGTGTTTCCTAAAACTAGCCATATGCCATATTTTCTTAACTAACCATGACACCATTATTGAAATCAGCAAATTTAACACTGATGCAACACTTCACAGTCTTCTGTTTGTATTCCAGTTTTATCAGTTGAGTCAGTAATGTCCTTTATAGCATTTTCCGCTTCAGTACAGATATAGTCAGGATTATATTTAGTTGTCGCATCTCTTTAACCTCAAATCAAGAACATTTCCACAGTGGAAATTTCTTCTTTCTTTCCTCTCCCTGAGACGGGGTCCTGCTGTGTCACCCAGGCTGGAGTGCAGAGGTCTGACCGTGTCTTGCTGCAGCCTTTGCTTCCTGGACCTAAGTGATCCTCCCGCCTCAGCTTCCAGGCCTACAGGCACGCGCCACCACACTTGGCTAATTAAAAATTTTTTTTCCTGGAGACAGGGTCTCCCTTTGTCTCCTAGGCTGGGCTTGAGCTCCTGGGCCCAAGTGATCCTCCTGCCTTGGCCTCCCAAAGTGCTGGGGTTACAGGTGTGAGCCACTGTGCTGGCCCAGTGTTTATTTCATATAGATGAAGAGTATCTGTTCAAAGACTGCTTTCCTCTCCGTAGGGGAAGATGTTTTTTAAAATGAAGCAGGGAGGTGGGATCACCCAGAGTTCTAAAAGAAAAACATTTTCTTTCTGGAATTTTCATTTGTTTTGTCAGACTTCCGATAACTACTTCGTTGGTTATAACATTCACTCTAACATGCCAGTGCACTTTCCCTGAGGCCCTGGATCTTGTTAATTTGTAGTGAATTTTTGTTGGTTTTATGTATATGGTATATCTGTCTTAATTTGAAATTCTTCAGTTACTAGTGATGCCAGAAGTTTAAAAAAATGTGCTACTTGCATTTTTATGTGTGTAAGGTGTCTACTACCACTTTTGGACTTTTCGTTGTTTAAAACTTTTTAGAATTATCTTACCCTTATACATTCATATCACTATATATTATTTTTCCCCAATGTGTCTGTTAAAATATTTTGTTACACTTTTCCTTGGTTTATCTTTTTAAGATTCACATTCAGTGTAATGACATTAGCCTGTATAAAGTGATTTTGAAAGAATCATCTGTAGTAAACAGCTGTGTGTCTCACACTCTGGCACTCTGTGAGGTCAGATTACCCTCTCCTTGTAATAAGGTTACTGGATCAGAAACCAAAGCATGTGGAAAGCTTTCTGCATTTTTGTTTTGGGTCTTCTTGGGTCTTCATGGTCTTTTCTCTTTCTACAGCTGGACACAGAGTATAGAAAAAAATGGGATGCCCTGGTGATCAAGCTGGAGGTGATTGAGAGGGACGTGGTTAGTGGCTCCGAGGTTCTTCACTGGGTAACCCATTTTCCTGTGAGTATTTTTACTTCTGATTTTATTTCTGCCCAGGTATGTGTGATGCAGAACACTAATCCTGCCCCTCCATTTCTTTAGTATCCAATGTACTCACGGGATTATGTGTATGTTCGGCGGTATAGTGTGGATCAGGAAAACAACATGATGGTGTTGGTGTCGCGGTATGTATGGCTGCCTGTGACTCTTGCCGAGTTCCTTTAGCTGTGGCCTTCATTCCTATGTACCTGAGTTTGCATATTCTTAGTGCCCTGATGAGTCTCCCACAGGCTTCCCTGCAGCCAGTGCCCCTTCCATCCAGCTGGAAGATGAGGGGGCTCTGACTGTCTAGGAAGAATGGAGAGATACAAGCTTTTAGTTAAACTGTTTTTGGGTTCTTTAATGTTGGTAATTAAAAGAAGTGCTGTTGTTTTTGACCCACAGCCTAGTGAGCCATAAATTACCAAAGGAACTCACTTCATTTTTAATTAATTCATTTGTTTATTTTAGAGGCAGGGTTTCACAGTGTGGTCCAGGCTGGTCTTGGACTCCTGACCTCAAGTGATCTTCCTGTCTTGGCCTCCCAGTGTTGGGATTATAGGCATGAGCCACCACGTCTGGCCTTCACTTCATTTTTAGAACTTAGTTTGTATTTATTCGTCTTAGTGACTCCTTTGTTTTGTGTATTTAAAAAAATCAGGCC